TTTGCAGTATTCTGCTCCTTTGGTGTTTTCTGTCTCATTGAATGCTTTCATGCTTCACTAAGTTCCCTATGCTAGCTTCCCGGGTGCATGTACACCGAGATCGCTATGCCCTGTAACTCCCTTGAACTCCCAGCCCTCCTGCCTTCATTGCCACTCTCTTACTTCAAGCTTTCACGCCCGCTCATTTCCACCTGTGGACTCTGGTACCACCATGCTGACCTGTCTATCTGTGCCTGACGGTAGACAGACATTCTGGTTGCCTTCTACCCTGATATCCAGGTAATCTAGTTTTTTAAATTTCAGGTTAATATGAGGGTACGAATAATTAGGTTACATTGTTTGAGTTGAGCCCTTCACCCAGGGGTGTGCTGTAGACCCTCCCAATGTGCCCGTCAGGTGGCAGCTTACCATTCCCACTGCCTCCTCCTCCCTCTCCCCTTTCCCTCCTGTTGAATTCAGTTTTGTTTTTCTCTCATGCGTGGTACATTTATTTAACTATTTGTTTCATGTTAGTATTGAGTACTTTGGATACTTGTTTTTCTATTCTTGTAATACTTTACTAAGAAGAATGTCCTGCAACTCCATCCAGGTAAATACAAAAGATGCAAAGACTCCATCTTTTATGGCTAAATAGTATTCTATAGTATACATATACCACAATGTATTAATCCATGTCTGAGTCAATGGGCACTTGGGTTGATTCCACATCTTGGCGATTGTGAATTGAGCCTGAGATATCACCTAACCCCAGTGAGAATAGCGCACATAACAAAATTCCAAAGCTGCAGATGCTGGCGTGGATGTGGAGAGAAGGGAACACTTTTATACTGCTGGTCGGATTGCAAACTAATATAACCTGTATGGAAAGAAGTATGGAGAATCCTTAAAATGCTAAAAGTAGACCTTCCATTTGATTCCACAATCCCATTACCAGGTACCTACCCAGGTAATCTTCCTAAAGCACACCTCTGACCCTGTCTCATCCCAGTTTAAAGAGCACTGTCTCTGTCTTGTCTGTCTTCACTGTGTGTACTGTCACTGAGCCACCACTGGTGTCTCTCCTAGAACACTGTGGTCTCTGAGGCCAATTCCCCTGATGGCAATGGCCACTTAGCAATATGACTGCTGGAGGTTTCATCCTGCTCTATGAAACCTTTGCTGATAGTCCCATTTTACACACTGTTCTACTTTCAATTATCCTTCTATTCTCACATAGGCCTTTTCTCCCAGAATTTATCAGCTCAGACTACATTTTCTCATTTACTCCTCTGTACTCCTCTACAACACTGAGCTGTAAGCACCCTGAAGACAGGGCTGTTTTATGGTTCATGCCTAACCATTTTACTCACCTGTGGATTCAGCATTCTTGGCTTTAGTAAATATTCAACAAATATTTATGATTGATACTAAATGAATAAAAGCAGAGAGACATTTTAAACAAGTGCTACCTTGGGTTTACAAAACTCCTAATAATTAGAGATTATAATTAGTGCTCGTTCAAGAAGTTTTTATATATAAAATGTCTGGGATTTGCTTCAAAATAATATAAGAGAAGAGGTGGTAGGTGAGACAAATGGAAGACAGCCCGTGAATTAACAATTAGTAAACAGGAGTGATGATACTTTGGGAGTCCATTATACTATGTTTTCTATTTTTATGTTGAAATCTTCCCATAATAAATATATTTTTTAAAAAGCACATTTTACTAACTCCCAGTAACCTTGAATAAAGTAAAAAGTCCTGGGTAAATTCTGTAGTGCACTCTATGACCTGACCCTGCCCTACTTCTTCAGTACCAGCTGCTGTCACTCACTTTTCACGTACCCTTTAACCACCTAAAACTACTCATAGTTCCCACAGAGGGTAAGATGTTTCTTACTGCCAAGTATTTCTAGATTCCCCTTTTTCCAGCATGCCAAATTCCATTCCTCTTCTCCTGGCATAACTCAGTGTCCGACACATTCACGCATTGCCAACCCATGTCCTTGTCTTCCTGCCAGGCCCTGGTGACACTGCAGTGAAGGATACCCCCCTCTGCTGCTCCTGGCTGCCCTGCTAGCCTTCCCAGCCCTCCCTGACCCGTTTGGACAGCAGCAGTGGCTCCCTTGTTTTCTGACCTCCAGAGGAAGCCACCAGCAGAAGATCCTGAGGTCAAGAGAGAGAATGAAGTCACTGTATTTATGTCCCTGACTTTCTCTCTGCTCAGTTAGTGTGGGTTGACTGTCTTCTCTTAGCAAATATCACTCATGCCAGGTAGCCCTTTCCAGGCACTACTCATTCTGCTACAGGTAACTGACCTTTTGACTTTGCATCATCAGCTGGGAATGGTTTCTCAACCTAGCGCACTATAAGAGACCCGCCATTCAACTCTCCTCAAACTACCCAGGCTCAGTCTGCCGCAGCTCTTCCATATAATTGGTGTAACACACTTGTTATTATACCAATTATTATACTAAAATATTACACTAATTAGTAGAATAAAAATTATATCAATTACACAGTGGTAAACAAAAACCAAAAGTAAAAAGACTATAAAAAGAACCAGACACTGATATAAGCATGGAAAAAGAAGAGGTAAAGAACTTTTTAGAGATGGCATGTGCAATACTTGCTGATACAAGAGCAGTGAGGGGTGTTCAGGGCTATGCTTCAGTTGTGCAGCCACTTGAGTTAGAAAGCAAAGAGAAAGTGGGGAAGGCTGGAGAACCAGACAGGATCTTGACTTGATAGGCCAAGTAAAGATATAGATTTTGATCCTGAGAGCAATAGGTAAAAATAACCAATATTCTCCATGCCTTCCCAAGTCTAGGTAAGAAATCATCATCTCTCAGACAGTCTCTGAGAGCTTCCTGTCTGACAGAATCGGGAAGCTCTAGCTAGTAACCATTCAATAAATGTTCATCGGATAAGGGAAAAAGACTGAGCAAAACATATGTGAACAGTCTTAGAGATTTTCTCATCATATACTAGTTTGATTTTGCCACCTCTAAAATTCTTCCTTGAAAATATCCTTCTTGACCTTAATCCTATTTGCTCTAAGCTGTGTGGCAGATTGCAAGGACAAAAAAAGCACTGGCAATCAGAGCTGCATACATGTCAACCACCCTATAGAGTAAGTCAATCCCAGCTCAAACTTCTACACTGTGACAACTGTTTCATTCTAGAGAGGATTTAACAAAGAACATCAACAAATCAGGTGATGGAGACTCTTGACATAATCACTATAGATTATTAGGTAGGCTAACCTTCACTAACTCCTGGTAATGGATGAAGAGTAATTTGGAATTCACAAGATGAGTAAAAAGATATCTGTTTTGGTTTGTTAGAACAAGAAAAACAACTTTCTTGCTTTCATGTAGATGATAAAGCACAAACCAAGTGCTAAGTTACAAATACTAGCTTTATTTTGATTTGCTTTACAAACCAACAGTGTGGCCAATTGACACATGATAAAAAAAATAAGCACAATTTTTAATCGGCTCCTGTGCTACATATCATTGAATAATGAATGGGAATATATAGCTAAAACCTTCTTGCTAATATAGTTACATTATAAATTTTTTCTATTGTTGGAGAATCATCGAGGATACAAAGAACCAGGTTACACTTCTTGCATTTGTTAGGTAAAGTCTCTCTTATAATTGTGTCTTCCCCCCCAAGAGATGTCTCACACCATGACCCCCATCCTCTCCTTCCTTCCCTCTTTCCTCTACCCACCTCCACCACCCCATATCAATTGTCCTCATATCAGAATTGAGCCACAGATATAAAAGAGATTATCTCTGAATGCTACAAGAAACTCTATGCCCAGAAATTTAACAATATGGAGGAAATGGATCAATATTTTGAATCACACCCTCTCCCTAGACTTAATCAAGAAGAAATAACAAACCAATTTCAAGCACTGAGATTAAAGAAACAATAAAAAATCTAACAACAACAAAAAAAAATGCCCTGGTCCAGATGACTTCACACCAGAATTCTTTCAAACTTTCCAAGAAGAGCTTATACCCTTTCTACATAAACTATTCCAAAAAATTGAGAAGGAAGGAATCTTCCCCAACATGTTCTATGAAACAAACATCACCCTGATACCAAAACCAGGAAAAGATCCAACTAAAAAGGAAAATTTCAGACCAATTTTGCTAATGAATATAGAGGCAAAAATCCTTAAGATCCTAGCCAATAGATTACAGCTTCTCATTTAAAAAGCCATACATCACAATCAAGTAGGTTTCATCCCAGGGATATAATTTTTTTTTAATGCAAGCAAACAAATCAAAATGGAAGGTGATCTCAATACTATCGCAACTGAATATTCACTGATGTCATAATAACGGTGTCTTTGTACAGTCAGGTATTCTGTGTTAATGGAATAGCTGAACAGTCAGTGAACCAAAAAAAGTAGCAAACACTTTCGGTGCCAGTGGTGAGTTATTTCTATGGTGTAAAGTTTATTAATTAGCATGAAAGCTTTTCATTCTGGGAGAAAAATAATCAGGAAAATAAGCAAATGATACTTATTTTTGTTGTAATTCAAACAAATATACATCAGTTTTCTTAGTGACATAAAGAATGACCTTTTTTCTTATTCTTCCTAACAAAGTTGCCACTTTTTGGTTTACTGGGTATTTAGGTAAAAAGGAAACTAATTAATTACATTGGATTCAACTTTATTTTGCTTACTTATGAATGGGATGAGCATCTTCATTTTCACAAAATACCTGAATATACAAAGATATCATTATTGTGACATTAGCAAAGGTCCAGTTGCCACAGTACCAAGATCACCTTGTATTTTCATTTTGTTGTTTGCCTTAAAAATGTATAGTGTATTTGCAAGCAGCTTTTCGTCATGCATTCCTCTTATTATTAAAATTAATAAATTGACAAACCAGGAGAGAAAATTATATTAATACCAAAGTTCTGTGAAATTAAAAAAAAAAAAAACCTTTAACTGTGACTAAAATACATTTTAATGAAAAAGTCATGCAGCTTACCAAAGAGGCCATAGTGAATCCAATAACTTCAATATAACCATCGTCATGACGCTGAGGTTCAAAATCGTGGTGATCTCCTGGGTTTCCCCAGGGCATTGTGCCAGCACAATATCTGCAAGATCAAGGACAGGATCAGACATGTGCCATACTTCTCACGACCATCACTAAGGATTCCTTTGTACTTAGAACCAATGTTTATTGAACAAAAGAATTGTATTCTATTCTTGGTGGGTACCTTCCAACAGAAATGAAAATGGACTTATTATCATTGTCAAAATATCACCTGTGAAAATGGGCCATCATTTCCACAACAATCCAACTTTCTCATAATTCACAAATATTACTTACTCTATGATTTATAGATGCCTGCTTTTTTTTTTTTTTTTTTGAGACAGAGCCTCAAGCTGTCCCCCTGGGTAGAGTGCTGTGACATCATAGCTCACAGCAACCTCCAACTCCTGGGCTCAAGTGAGTCTCCTGCCTCAGCTTCCCAAGTAGCTGGGACCACAGACACCTGCCACAATGCCTGGCTATTTTTTGGTTGCAGCCATCATTGTTGTTTGGCGGGCCCAGGCTGGATTTGAACCCACCACCTTAGGTGTATATGGCTGGTGCCTTAGTCACTTGAGCCACAGGCACCAAGCCAATGCCTGCTTTTTATATATGTCATTATCTAGAGGCAGTTTTAGAATTTGGTCTTGGAGGAAGACATAGCCATGCTATTAATAATAGAAAAGAGACAGTGGGCAGCATTTACCATTATATACAAAAGTAACATAAGAAGTACACACAGGAAAAGGAAAACATAAACAAAAAAGAGTGAAAAGGGATAAAATATAGTTAAGAGATTAGAGAGGAAAGGAGAAATAAAAGAAATGGAGAAGTAGAGAAAGTGAACCTAAAGGATGTAACAAAAAGAACAAGGAAAAAAAGAGAAAAGGAAAGGTACAAGAGAAAAATAATGAGGCAAGGCAACAGTGTTTCCTGAGAGCAAGGCCTTCTACCTCAGTTAGGCCGCAAATAGTTCTAGAATAAGATTGCAATTGACTATACTGAGCACTGCCAAGAATATCAAGAGGCTAGGATACATTGTCCTAGCCATTGATTTACATAAAACTCTTATTTCAATTAAATTCAGTCTAAGAGGGATGTATTGCAGATTTTGTATCTCAGTTATTTGAAGGACAAATAACAAAAGGTTACAGATCTATCCCTTCCAAAATCTTGGCTTGGTAGGCTAGAATCTAATTTTATGCCACTGAGATAATGTACTTGTTTTAAGACTGGTTATCTTAAGTATCTCTTTCTCCATAAGTATCTAATAGCACCAAAGAGAGTTAATGTCCTGGCTAGAATATAGCACTCTAATTGATCTTATTTTTTCTCAAAGCAATCATCTGTAAAGATTTTGAATGAATTCCATACTCAAATCAGATGGGACGATTTCTTATCAGCTCTAGGAACCTGAGAATAGACATTTATTCAAGTCTATCATTCTTGGGGAGTGAGGGAAGAGAAGAACAGTAATTGAAAATTAAGTGAAAATAATTCAATGAAGAGAGCTACCTGGGTTTCTTAAGGATTGGTAAGTATAGACTACACTGGAGCTATCTACACACTGAACCACCTACCACCAAGAACACTAAATAAACCAAGTAGGACAAAATTACTAGGTCTAGAAACTTTTACTAAGGCTTTACGATAACTGATTGTCATTTGTTACACGTGAATATTTTTTGTTATGAAAATAGACAACCTCAAGTCAAGCAGAGTTCACATCAAACCCAAGAAATAATATGAGCAGAGCTTACCTAGGTATATTTAAAAATACTATACACTGGAACTTCAGTTCCTGAATCTTTGGGGTGAGATCTGTTCCATCGCACTGCAATAACCAAAACAGAAAAAGCAAGGGTTTGGAAGTAATCACAAGTCTAACAAATTACCAAAGATAACTGGCTGGACAATGGTGTACACCATGATGATCTTTTTACCCTTGCTCCATCTGTGCTGAAGTGAAGGCCAGTTACTATGACTGAAAATATATTCTAATTACAGTTTTACTAGACTCCAGGTTCAGAGCTTGGTTTTGTTTTGATTTCGTGTAAAAAAAAAAAAGCTGCTGTTTGTCCAAAATGTTTTTTTTTTCTCTAATCTCAAGGAAATACTGCCTTTCTGAACATTGGATAGTTATTAGATATTAAGGCTGATAGTATCAACATTAAAAAAATTATGAACATTTAAAAGAACATAAAGAGTAAAGCCTCAAGTTCAAACAGCAGCATTTGCTACTACAGCCATCTGATTCAAGGAAGCCACGAAAAGAACCATTTATTTTCTTTGCCTTTTGAGATTTTTGTTTGGAAACTATTAAATAATATTTTAAATTCTTTTTAAAAGGTATATATACTGCAAACTTTTACAAAAGTATCCATGATAGATGAGTATTATCTCCATTAGTGATTTGTTCTTACAAATTTAATCTCTTACAGACTATGAACTTCTAAGACAAACTGCTTTCTTGGAGACTGGACGCAGCTCCGGAACTAAAAGGCCCCTGGACAGTTTGTCCTCAATATAAACCTTTGTGTGATTGGTTAGCACCTCCCTCGAGGATATCATCCTCTGACCAACCAAAGAAAAGGCTTTTATTTCCCTTTCTCATTCTCCACTGGTGACAAAAGTCAAAAGAGAAAAATTCTAATCACAACTATAAACTTTTCAATGTCAAAGGTATAAAGTCTTCTTCTCTCTTTACTCTTCTCACGCCTTCATCACAGAATTTCCCCCCTTGTCTTCCCTTTTGAAGACAGAAGCAAGCATTTCCATGGGTCCTGCAAATTGTGAAAATGTATTTTGGAGTCGTTTTGGTTTAGGCCCAGTGATTTTCTTAGCACTCAAATTGACGCCAGCATTCAATTCTTTTCCCAGCTGGACTCAATACAGCATAATTTTCATGAGAATTTCCCAGAAATTGTTTCCAGGAAACCCTACCACCCTAACTAAACAAAATATGTTTAAATGTAATTTAGAAAGGAATCAAATCCTAGACATTGATTGAAAGTGGTTTCTATTATTCTCAACTACTAAGCAAACATGAAGTCTCCCAATTGATTTGAAGGTTTGAAATGAGTTTATAGATGACTAGGTCGATGAAGAAAGAGATAGACATTTTAAATTATCAAAGTTGTGTGTTATAAGCAAATAAAACTTTAAAAAAAACTGGGGTGTGATATATTAACAGCATACAAAGCATTATCATTGTATTATAGAAAAAGGCTACAATAAGTATGATTGTATTTAGAACAAAATTCATTTTTTAATTGTCTGTGTTTCACTCCTGGGAAACATGTCAGTGATTCTGTGAACTCATCAAATAATACAAAAAAGGAGCATCTTACTATACATAGTGTTTTGTAAAGTCTTCTCGCATATTATTACATTACACTTACAATTCTTTAGAGGTTTTCAACTTTCTACTTAACACACATAAAGAAAAATATTTGCAAGTAAAATATGTTCTTGCATACAAACTCATGTACTGATAAATACAATAGCAAGGAAAATTAAAGAAAGTAGAGAAAATACTATAAGTTTTGTTAGCACTTATTTTTGTGTCTTCTTTGTCAAGTATTTAAATACACATTTTAAATCTATAGCAGAGATTACTAAGCATTACATCTGAAACACTGACTTCACCCTACAACAAAGCCCAGGTGGTCTGTTACTGTATATGCATCGTATCACTCGCACTGATCTTCCATTCTTTCCATCTCCTACTTAGGAAAATAAATAGTGACATCATTGTAGAAATATACTATGTCCCTCGTGTCGTAGCCCAGTGGTCAAAAACTATTTCTTCAAAGACATATCTTGATATGACTATTGTAGAGATAAGGAAAGCAAATTTCTCTGACAGGTTAAATGATTTTCCAAAAGTCATATATCTAGTAAATGTGGCCCTAACTGCCTCCCAAATGTTCATACTTAGTTTCTAATGACTTTTCCCTCCTGAGAAGATATAATTTGCATAAATATTCAACTTTGACTATTATGTTAATTGGCTGATAGCAAGTCTTTCCTAGTTATTTGCTGTCATATTGGCCTCTCTGCAAGCTTCCTTTAGTCTCTGCTATATAGCCACCTGGCCATGAGAAATTTATCATCAAGAGAACTTCCAGATATGAAGGAGAAACTCTACAGTAGTTAGGACATGTAGAGTTTGATGTCAATCCAATGACTTGGATGATACAATGGCATTCAATATGAGGGCTGCCCTGCTCTCATGGGCTCTCTTAGGAGCTGCCACAGATGTTCCTCGAATGCAAAGTGAGGTTTATTTTTGTTTGTGTGGCAGGCAACTGAAGAAACAGGGAAGTTTGGTGAAGTGTTCTGCCCTTCACATTTAATAGCCATCATTATTATTTTTATTGTTGAGGATTCATTAAGGGTACAAGAAACCAGGTTATACTGATTGCATTCGTTAGGTAAAGTCCCTCTTACAATTATCTTGCCCCCCAAAGGTGTGTCACACACCAAGACCCCAGCCCCTCCCTCCTTCCCCCCTCTGTTCTTCCTTTCTTCCACCCCTTTTATCAAAGTCAAAATCTGCATATTTCTTTTTTTTATTTTGTTAATTAGATCATAGCCATGTACATTCATGCAATTATGGGGTACAATGTACTGGTTTTATACACAATTTGCAATACTTTTATCAAACTGGTTAACATAGCCTTCACCGCATTTTCTTAGATATTGTGTTAAGACGTTCATATTCTACACTTAATAGATTTCACATGTACCCTTGTAAAATGCACCATAGGTGTGGTCCCACCAATTACCCTCTCTCCACCCATCCTCCCCTCTTCCCTCCACTCCCCGTCCTCTTTCCCCTTCATCTTGGGCTGTAGTTGGGTTACAGCTTTCATATGGAAGTGTGGGTGCTTATATATTGGTTTCACAGTAGGGCTGATTACATTGGATACTTTTTCTTCCATTCTTGAGATACTTTGCTAAGAAGAATATATTCCAGCTCCATCCACGTAAACATAAAAGAAGTAAGGTTCCATCTTTTTTAAGGCTGCATAATATTCCATGGTGTATATATACCACAATTTATTAATCCATTCATGGATCAATGTGTACTTGGGCTTCTTCCATGGCTTAGCAATTATGAATTGAGCTGCAATAAACATTCTGGTGCAAATATCTTTGTTATAAAGTGATTTTGGGTCTTCTGGATATATACCTAGTAGATGAATTGCAGGATCAAATGGCAGGTCTATTTTTAGATCCATAAGTGTCTCTAAACATCTTTCCAAAAGGAATATATTAGTTTGCATTCCTACCAGCAGTGCAGAAGTGTTCCCTTTTCTCCACATCCATGCCAACATCTCAGGTTTTGGGATTTTGTGATGTGGGCTAATCTTACTGGAGTTAAACTCAAAGTGGTTTTGATTTGCATTTCTCTGATGATTAAGGATAATGAGCATTTTTTTCATGTGTCTGTAGGCTGTGTGCCTGTCTTCTTCAGAGAAGTTTTTCTTCAAGTCCCTTGCCCACCCTGAGATAGGATCACTTGTTCTTTTCTTGCTTGTTTGAGTTCTCTGTGGATTCTGATTACTAAACCGTTGTGACAGACATAAACTTCAATATCTTCTCCCATTCTGAGGGCTGTATGCTTGCTTTACTTACTGTGTTCTTGGCTGTGCAGAAGCTTTTTAGTTTGATCAGATCCAGTAATGTATTTTTGGTGTTGCTTCAATTGCCCAGGGGGTCCTTCTCATAAAATATTCTCCCAGGCCAATTTCTTCAAGTGTTTTCCCTGAACTTTCTTCTAGTATTTTTAGAGTTTTATGTCTTATTTCAGTGGACCATGTGTCTTTCTTATATCTATCTAATATCTTTGTATTAGCCTTACAAAAACAATACTTTAGTTTTCAAAGTCTTCACCACTAAAAGAAACTTACTTTTCATTGTAATTATATAAGAACAGAAATATCTGAAAGTGATGTGAAGGACTGTTGGTACCAATGGTTAAAGGCCTTGGTTTCTTGATCCAACTGACTTAAGAGGTTCATGTCTCACCCACGCCTTATTAGCGATCACAAATTTTAATTTGTATCATCTCATGCTCCTGCATATTATTCTATGTTCCCATTAGCTTAAGATGACATTTTTTTTCTATTTTCATGTATATATTTTATTCTGTTCCCTCTTACTACATTTTTTTTCTTACCTACACCATAATAAATGCAAGCATTGTTATGTTCCCATCCCTTCCTCTCCAGCTATATTTTTTCTTATAATATATATGTGTGTGTGTATATATATATATATATATATAACTAAGTGCAATCAAGTCATGTTGATTCCTTCTCTTATCTTGGTTATTTTAAGAAAACATTTTATGTCTTAGAAAAACTATATTATTTTTTACAATGTATCACCTAGAGAACAATACATTCCTCTTTCCCTTTCTTCCAAAACCTAGGCCAGAGGCCAAGGATGAAATAAGAAAAAAAAAAAATCCACTCAGTGGTGAGAAACCTTGAGCAGGTTGGAGAGTGAGTCAACAAATATGCATTGTTCTAATGTGAAGACTCCTCAGAAAGCCCCGGAATATGCATATTTGTTTAGTAACCATCAGTTTTTACTTCAAGACCCAACTAACATCATTTCCTTGATAAAGGTCTTCCTGATCCCACCATAGTCAGAGCTATTATTTCTCCCTTTCTTCTACCTCCATATTGTATACATAGTTCAATAATATTTATTACATCATTTGTAGTGACTTATATGCATTTGTTCACAACTGAATTGTGCATTTCTTTAGCAGTAAAACTAGTCTTTATATTCATTTTATCACCAACAATTAAGAAGTGCCCAACACATAGGAGTATTCATAAATGTCAGCTGATGAAGAGCACCAAATGATCTCGAAAGTTCCATGTAGCCAGTGATTCATCTAAATGTATAAACTGGTGCTTGTATGTTTACTTCTGCAGTATTCATGTTCATATTCAAATGGAATCAATCAACATATTCTATACTTACAACAACTTTAACATGTTTGGATAGATCTCTAGAACTTCTCTGAAGGAAATCAGAAAAAGCTGCCTAGATCACAAGAAAACAAAGAAAAAGAAATACTTAATTATGGTGTTGCCAAATTCTTGCTTCCAGATTATAGATAATTGCCAATGATTCTAAATTGTCCACAAAATACAAAAGAAGTTCTCTTCTTGCTGAATCCAAAGTAAGGCAGTACAGTGACTATCAAGTTGAAATCTGTTTCCAAACTACAATATATATAACATATTTTTAGAGCACAAAACCAGGAAGGCAAAAATATTTTCCAAGAAAATATTTTGCCTACCTCTCCTGGCCATCCTATTTGTCCATTAGGTGCCGAAAGAATCTTTAATCTGCCACTGAGGATGTCTTGATTCACCCCCTTTTTATTTTTGACTCCCCCCTTTTTTTTAGTGCCATAAATTTAAACTGCACTTTACTGAAATTTTGGATGCCTTTTCCCCTTCTCTATTCACTTTCACATATGTGACTGAGAAAGAAAAGAAAGAAAAAGAAGGTGCCCCATTTCATTGCATATATGCTTTCATGAAAAGCTTCCCCTATTCTGCCAGTTTCCTATTTGAATTTGATGTGTGTGTACCTCAGTGAAAATTACTTTCTTACCTAAGACTTTCTATCCTACAGTCTATCCAATTTCCCCATTTCTTACATTGGCTTTGATGGGTTATTTTCTACATTTTATTTTAATATCCATCCTCAACAGCATACCCTCTTGTACAACATGGATCCCTGGGGCTTTAAAGTTGAAAGATGATGAATACCAACTATCTTTCTGACAACTAACTAAGGAAATAACACTCTTACTTTCATTCTTAAACTAAGACATTAAACATTAACCATGTATATAAATACCTGAGGTGCACGTGCTTTTATATTTAACGTACTGAGCTCTTTTATTACAGTAAATTAATATTAAATAATATGTAATCATTATTAAGTAAAACATATACTTACCCCTGCATAGAACATTTTATTTCGAAAACGACTGTTGAATTTCTCTGGATTTGCTTCTGTGAAAGAGGAAAGGCAGTTTTGTTATAAAGACTTCAGTAAAGGCAGTGACTTAGATTAGCATTCCTACTTCCATGCCCACTCCCTCCTCATCCTGCAGACCCAACAGATCCAACAACTTTATTACCATCTTTCTTGTAGGCCCAAGCCAGTTGGAATAGTGACCCAGTGCTACAGCCACAGGTGCTGAGTGCTATGGGTAGCTCCAACTGGGAGCAAATTATTAGTTTCTACCCCAGATCTACTGAACTAGAAGAATGCCTGGGTCTGAGGTCTCACAATCTGTGGGGTGGTTTGTCAAGCTGTCCAGGTGATTTGCACGTATCTTAAGGGTTGAAATACTCTGGACTCATGGGGTATGGGTCTGGGACACTGGCTGGGGAGAGGAGGAAGGAAGTGGAGGAGAGAACACCTGCTTCGACTTTCATAGGGCATGCCTTCCATTAACTGTGTGAGGCTTCTAAATTTGGGGAATTTGGATAAAAATGAATGGATGGTTTGCTTTCATAGGGCATGCCTTCCATTAACTGTGTGAGGCTTCCAAATTTGGGGAATTTGGATAAAAATGAATGGATGATTTGCTTTCACACTTTCAAAAACACTAAACTATCCTCTGTTCCCTTGCTTGTGACAGGCTTTGAAAAATCATTTTGTTTAGTGGAGAATACACATACAGAGACAGACACACAGAGAGTGAGCTCATGAGGGTGAGTACGTGCGCAGAGGAGAAACTGAGCACCTGCTGAGTACAGCAAAGACTCTGGCTGATAAATGGGTTAATTTCGAGTTTGCTACTGTATGGCATATAGTTTAAGGACCCACAAAGACAAAACAAGAATCCGCATCAAAAAATTTGCCCATAAAGTCAAGGGATTACAAAGTCCCTAAATAAACATTATTCCTTGAAGTATCTCTTTCTAATAAAATTCCGAGACAGTCTGAAAGAACCTACTGTCTGCATTCAGCTTTCTGCTATTTTCATTATATGTTCATTTTTCTTTCTGAGTCTAGTCTTTCCCTAAGTCCTTTCTCAGAAGACAGCTGACTAACCAACTGAAGCCCCCTAAATCCCAACCTAGTTTTTGGATGGCAATCCCCAAGAACTATTGTCTAGAGGAAGAGAAGTAGTAAAACATTCCCTCATTAAGACTGTGCAGAGCAAAAGCTACAGGATGGTACTAGATAATCCTGGACAAATGATTATTAGATTATTTCCATGATTATTAGAACATAACATCAGCACATGACTTCAGAACTGGGAATAGGATGGTAAATCTTAAAAATTATAGCATTTTTGTAGATTGGGTCTTAACAGTTACCTTCATATATTTATGATTTTTCTGTTTTAAAGAGCTCCTTAACTATTTACTCTGTTCTACCAAATTAAGCGCTCTAACCTTGGAAACAAGATAATACAAAAGGTAAAGGGTTCCATTTAGAGGCTTTCTGATGTGGGCTACTCTTACTGGGGTTAGGGGGTATCTCAGGCTGGTTTTGATTTGCATTTCTCTGATGATTAGGGATGATGAGCATTTTTTCATGTGTTTGTGGGTCATTCAAAATTACAAAAAAAAAAAAAAGAAAGAAATACTACTCTGATTACATCTAAATTTAAAAAAAGCTAAATTGTTCAATTATAAGATAATTGAAGACAAGAGATAAGAACAATATTAATTGCTCTATCTTACTGACTGCCCCTTCTTGGCCGCAGAATTAACCATTTTCACTGACTAAATCTCCTTCAGGATAAATGTGGCTGCTGAATGACAGGTTGTTTTCAAACTATTTTGAAAAGATTTGGTTGAATATGATTTTCAATTGCATTAACTCTTTCTTGTTTTATGGAGCCAGAGGCAAAATGAGAATTTCTTTTCCTGCTATGCAATTTATAGTAAGTATATAGGCCCTAATTTAAAAAAAATCATATCCTGTTTCCAATAAAGTTATGAGAAATGAAAAATGGCAGCTGTAGTTCTGGCACAGAATTTTTTCAGAGCACTGATGTCCACAGCTATTAAGTGAATCCTAAATCAACTATTATGCAAACACTTTCTATGTTTATGGTTTGAAAAATATTTCTATCTTTATGAGGTTTCCCTATAAGCCTGAAGAACTTAAAATCCTTCTCTTAAGAAATAAATTTTTCTGGGTAGTGCCTGTGGCTCAAGGAGTAGGGTGCCGGCCCCATATGCCGGAGGTGGCGGGTTCAAACCCAGCCTCGGACAAAAACTGCAACAACAAAAAATAAAAATAAAAAAATAAAGAAATTTTTCTTTCTTTTTTTTTTTTAGTTTTCTTTTTTTCTTAAATCATAACTTTGTGCACTGATGCATTTATGGGATTCAAGGCACTGCTTCGATATACAGTGTGAAATGTTTACATTGAACTAAGTAACACATCCATCACAATTATACTCCTTTCTTAATAGTTTTGAAATGTACCATTGCATCATGCACATTAGGTGAGTTTCCCCCCAGATACTCTCCCTCCTCCCATATCCCCCTCCCCTCCCCCTCTCTCCTCTTCCCTTCTACTTTCTGGATTATAGTTATGTTTGCCATTCATATGAATGTGTAGGTGATTATACATTGATTTCATAGTAGTGTTGAGTACATTGGATACTTTTTTTCCATTCTTGAGATACTTTACTAAGAAGAATATGTTTCAGCTCCATCCAGGTAAACATAAAAGATGTGAAGTCTCCATCTTTTTATGGCTGCATAGTATTCCATGGTGTACATATACCACAATTTTTCTTTCTCTCAAAAGATAGACTATTTTTTGTACAACCAACCAAAATTGGAATAAAACTAAGAAATAAACTAAGTTTTTGGTTATTTCACTCATACCTTCACACATTTCTTCTCATGAAGAAAAAAATTATATCAGATGTGGTTTAACTATATAAAATTCAATGAATTTTATTCAATGAATATAGCAAACCTAGAAAATATCTATCACAACATTAATGTTGAGATGTCAGAAAGACATAAAATAAAGAAGCAGGAGAATCACATAAATGATTTGACCTTGAATGAGAAAGGGCATGATGGAAATCCAGTTAGTGCTGGACATTAATCCTAATACAGTAGAGCCTCTGTAAGTTGACCACCCAAGGGACAGGTCAACATATGGAGGTGGTCAACACAAGGAACTAGGCCTACTGTACTGATACATATGTCCCATCTATGAAAATTAGGTCAACTATGGAGGAGCTACTGTATTGTACTGTTGACTCCCAGATTGAGTTTGCCTTGGCAATCAAATGCTTTTTCCATTTTTATATCTACCCTACTTCAAACACAAATCAGACTCAGAAATGAAGGTTAGCTAGAGCCAAGAGACAGGACTCAGCTTAGGGTTAGAGCTTTAGCATTTCCTACAGAAGCCAGACAAAAAGAAAGCAATGGCTAGCCTGCAAGTAACAGCATTCCACCACTTCCCGCTGGCCATTAAAAGGAAGGGATTAGAGGGCTAATTGTGTCCACATGCACACATGGAACAGTTGATGTGCCTTTGAGGAGGTTCAGAGAGTGCAGGACCTAAGCACATCAAGAAAGGAAAGGGGGCCATGCACAGTGGCTCACTCCTGTGATCTTAGCAGTCTGGGAGGCCGAGACAAATAGATTGCTTGAGACTGGGAGTTTGAAACCAGGCTGAGCAAGAGTGAGACCCCATCTCTACCAAAATAGAAAACTAGCAAGGAGTTATGGCAGGTGCCTGTAGTCCCAGCTATTTAGGAGAGTGAGGCAAGAAGATCTCTTGAGCCCAAGAGTTTGAGGTTGCTGTGAACTAGGCTGAAGGCAAAGAACTCTATTCAGCATGACATTAAAAAAGAAAGAAAGGAAAGTGTGTGGGAGGGAAAATAGGGAAAGGGGCAATGAGCAAATTTAAATGCTCTCGTGCTCTCATTCCTTCAGGGAGCTTTTTCTGTTCATTGGAATGAGGTATACCATGAACGGCAATCTCAAGAAAGGCTACCATACTGTGAATACCACAAAACTTCTACAGTGGAAGTATCCATGGCTTACTGCTGCAGCTCCTAGGCTGCCTATCTCCTCCTCCGCAAGAAGAGGCTGTGGGAGAATGAGACCCAAACACTCGCTGCGATCATCATCAACCTACCTGCGATCTACTGGACACCAACAACAGCTTTACTAGTTTTCTATTCCTGCCATAACAATTCCCTACAAACTCACTGATTTCAAACATCCATTTATTTTCTTACAGCTGCATAGGTTACAAACGTGGACGAGGCTGTCATGGGTCCTCTGCTTAGGCTCTTACAGGGCTCCGGTCATAATCTCATCTCACTCTGGGAAAGATTCACCTCCAAGCACCTCCATTGTCTTGTATTTGCAGGACTAAAGTTTTCCATCCCTGCTGGCTCCTAGCTGAGCTCATTCTCCCCTTGTAAAGGCTGCCTGTGTTCCTTGGTTCCTGGTCCCTCCATTGTCAAAGCACACAGTGGCACAGTTCTCACATTTTCAATCTGACTTTCCCTTTTGCCTTCCATTAAGCTTTTATGGGCTTACCTTATTACATTGAGCCCACCCAGATAACCCAGGATTCTTGCCTCCTTTAAAGCCAGCTTATTATTTTAATATTAACCATAATTAATTATATCTACAAAGGCCATGTAAGGTAACATAAACACGGGTTACAATACCAAATGGCAAAGGTCATGGAGGCCAAAATTCTACCCGCCATTGTCCACCCTTTTGCCTCCATGATTCATTTTTTCCAAATGCAACTCAAAATCATCTATGTCATCTAAATGATTTGGCTCTGGATGCAACCCGTTTATAATTACAATGAGCTCTGGGTATAACCCATTCAATCCATTAAATATATGAACCCCATCTTTATACAGCATGAAAACACGATGTTTGCCATCAGAACGGGGATCTAAAAATCCTGCTTTTGTCTAATGCCTTTTCAAATATTTATTTCAGCCTGCCTATCAATCTCAAGGTCTTGGGAGGGGCTCATATAAACA